GTTCTGGATTTTGCTACGCTCATTTTCAATAACGTCTGTTTCACATATAACCGAGGAAGGTACTTGAGCTTGTGAATCGATTTTAATTTGGCCGCTTCTGCCCCTTTGTGGAGATTCCATGCTCACGGGCTCTCTCTGATCATCAGCTGCTTAATACACCATGGTTTCTATGTTAGGGGGAATTGCTGCAGGAGGCAGTGGGAAGGGACGGGGAGCGAAGCGCAAGCAGCAGGACGGAGGGACCACGGGAACAGCCAAGAAAACCAGAAGGTAAGAGGAAGTATGATGCGCTGGCACAGCGACGAGCATCTGTAGCGAGGTGGTGTACGCTAGCCAGAGGGACAGCTTGAGTCTTGATGCTTTAAGCTGCTTTCTGCCTGCCCCTGCCCTTGGTAGATTTTTAGGTAATCATGCCATAACCCTGTGATGTTATCGATAGGTCACATACTAGAAATTATTTGAAATAGATGAGTATACGCTCATGCTGTAGATGAGTACATGGTCGTTTTGCACAGACTCTTGGAAGTAAAGCGGTGTGCAGGCCGCAAGCACTGCCATTAACAGCTCTGTGAGAGGTTGTCCTGGCGTGACTGGTGACTGAACCATCACCACTGTGAGATGCCAACCTGTAGTTTTTGTGTTTCACAGCGACCCGTTGTTTTCTGCTCAGCGCTTGCCACCCCACGGTTATCCTTTGGAACACCCCTTTAATAAAGATGGATATCGTTACATCTTGGCCGAGCCTGACCCCCATGCACCTGACCCAGAAAAACTGGAGCTAGACTGTTGGGCAGGAAAGCCTATCCCTGGGGACCTCTACAGAGCCTGCCTGTATGAACGAGTCCTCCTAGCACTGCACGACCGAGGTACAACGCTTGCTAATCGTATGCAAGTTGTATAGCCAGCTCTTCTTAGGGGGGGCCATCTTCTATAACTTCAGGTTACTGGTTATTGACATGTCAGATATAACTGCTTTAAGGGTTGCAAATGTTAAATCCATTTCTGTATGTTCATTTGCTGTTTGACATCGCCACACCTTAGAAACCACAAATGAGTCACTCATACCATCTTCTCTCATCTACTGCAGCTCCTCAGTTAAAGATTTCTGATGACAGACTGACTGTTATCGGTGAGAAGGGCTATTCAATGGTACGAGCCTCGCATGGAGTGCGGAAAGGAGCGTGGTACTTTGAAATATCCATGGATGAGATGCCTCCAGACACAGCTGCCAGATTAGGCTGGTCACAGCCATTAGGTAAATAATTTTACCAAATATTTCTTCGCAGTGGATTCCACCTGGGGCCTATATTTCTTTCCCCAGCACTTAGTAATTTAGACTTAAGGAGGGTAAGTCACATTCAGCTTGCCCTCTTCTTCACTGCTTTTCTTAAGGGGAGACTCTTTCTGCAGAGTGCAGAACTGCTGTACGGGTGGATCCTTTATGCTGTTGCACGCTTGGCCTTACTTAACACTGTAGTCAATGCATTTGTACTAATGGCAGTCATATTTGTTAACTGAATGTAATTACTGTTCCAAAACTTGAAGTGGGACACACAGAGGGGCTCCTGCTACACTGTGGATGTTCATGGAGAAACATTGGTTTCCGCAGGGAACCTCCAGGCGCCTCTGGGATATGACAAGTTCAGTTACTCCTGGCGCAGCAAAAAGGGAACAAAGTTTCACCAGTCGATAGGGAAACACTATTCATCTGGCTATGGACAGGGTGATATACTGGGATTTTACATCAGTCTTCCAGAAGATACTGAGACTGCCAAATCACTGCCTGACACTTACAAAGATAAGGTGAGGTGTGGAGTTCACTTTTGGATTAAGTGTTGGCTTAGGTGGACGAGTGGAAAACCTCACTTCTGCCCCCTTTGAGTGCATCCTTTCCACCCTACCTCTGGGCACCACTGTGGCTCACAGCGGAGAGGTCTCCAGCACTGATCTCAAGAAAACAAAATGCACAGAACCACCCAGAGGTTCTGCAAGGGAAGACTCTGCATGGGCTACTGAATGAGATTGGCCACATCTCGTTTCATCTTCTCTTCCCCTGCTGGTTCTCAAATATTTGAGATGTGTGAATCACTCCTCACGGGCACTTTGACAGAACAGGCACGCCTATCCCAGAGCCGGGCTCCTGTAGGTCTGACGTTCTTTAGTATGTCACTAAAGGTAACAGTTTTTCTGGCTTCTGAAGTGGTTGTTTTCTAATATTTCAGGCTTTGATCAAATTCAAAAGCTACTTGTACTTTGAAGAGAAGGACTTCGTGGACAAAGCAGAGAAGAGCCTAAAGCAAGCCCCTGGAAGCCAGGTAGGTTCAGCGTTGGTTAGATGGAGGATGCAGAACTTCAGGAGGAGTGGAAAGCCTGCTGAGATTGGTTTATTGTATGTATTAATCGCTTACTCATTAGTTCTTCATCAGAAGCAAGAATGCTTTCATTAAAGCAGCAATAAATGTGAACTTAGCAAACCAGCTGCACCCTTTGCTTGTAATGTTATTGTTGTCACTTAAGTAATTGTCTGTCATCAGGTAAAGGAGTGTAGGTTAAGCTGCCTCTTGAGAATTGCTTTGTAGTTCACAAGTAAGATCATGAAAGTTAGCATCAATGGAAAAAACCTCTTCCTTTTCAGATAATATTCTTCAAGAATGGTGCCAGTCAAGGAATTGCCTTTAAAGACATCTTTGAAGGAGTTTATTTTCCTGCTATTTCTTTGTACAAAGGCTGCACGGTAAGTAACGTATCTTTGACAGCTAACTCCTAAGTCCATCATAGTTTTAGTAACGCATAGGGTGTGGGCACACTGGGAGCATGTCAGGCAAGTGAAGAGGCAAGATGGGAATTACTTTAGTGAAGCAACTCAAACAATGCTGCTGTTCACTTGTGTGTGTGATGTAACTTTATCAAACGGCTGAATGAACACTCTCCTTCCACGCAGATGATGTTTGTTCATGTGGTCTTGCACAGGGTGCAGGTAGGCTCAGGAGTAGGAGCGGGTGAGGACTGAAGACTAAAGAAATTTACCCATTTTTTTGGATCTAATGACAAATGTGTCTCCCACAGGTTTCTATAAACTTTGGGCCGTATTTCAAGTATCCACCTAGAGATATCACTTACCGTCCGGTAAGTAATAACAACTAACTGAAGCTTTTTACCCCCCACTTTTGTGATAGCCTCACAGTATTTAAAGAAAAGGTGGTTGAGATTTTGTGGTGGTGGTGGGAGTTGATTTATACCAAGCCTGTATCTGTTTTCGTCAGTCTTTGTACTTGGCTAGTGTGGACAAAAGGATTGTATTTAAAAATATTTAAGGACAGATAGCCTAACAAATAACTTAGCTACATTTTAACTAAATAGTAGATGCTGGCTTGTTCCTCCTGACAGCGTGTAAAGTCCCTGTTCTTGCCTGTGGTAGCCTCTTTTATCAGTAAGAGGTCTGAATTCTTGTTTAAGGAAATTTTCTTCCCCTCACTAATGTTTTTTGAGGAGGAAAACAGTCCTGGGAATGCTGCTGTACAACAGGGCTAGTCACTCTTTGCCCTGAGCCTGTACATCATGACTTCAGCTAACTGTCTTTCATCCCCTTTGCAGATGAGTGATATGGGCTGGGGTGCTGTAGTAGAACACACGCTGGCAGATGTACTGTATCACGTAGAGACGGAAGTTGACGGAAGACGAAGTCCACCCTGGGAGCCATAACCAAAGTAGGTGGCGCAGCGTTAACAAAAATGACACAGTGGGTATCCAGTCAAGTGGTTTTTATTACAGAGGAACATGCATCACTCAGAGCAATCAGCCAATGCGTGAAGCCAATGCAGCTCTTGGTGGCAGGTGTTATGTATATTTGTTACCTGCTGAAGGTTCACGCTCTACCACTATGCTGGAGTCTAAGTGAATGCAGTTCTAGTATGTATTGTGCTATTTGTGGGCATCTCTTGGAGTCTTCAGTAACTCTTACAGTGTAGCTCGCTGAAGAAGCAAGTATTGTGTTGAGGTAACTTCCCAAGTGATGTACCTGGGTCCTAACAGTCACTTGGTCAGTGAGAGCAGGCTGTAGCTGGACCTGCCTGCTGTATGTAGACTTGCAGAAGCAATGTTGACACTTCTGCTCAACTGTTTGGCCAATTGTAAACAGCAGCTTCCAGCCAGAAGGATTGTGTTGTAACAAGACTACTGCATGTAAGACTGAAATTTGGGCTTCTGTCCAAACTGTATTTTTTTTTTTTCCCCCAAACTGGAAACCAGTTTAAAAATAAAGGCTTTAACTCTCACTTTTTTTTTGTCTTGTGACTTGTTGAATCTCAATTCATAAACTCAAAGTAGCTATACTTTAGAGATCTCTCAAGCTGACTATCTCCTGCTGCTTACTGCATTGACAAGTTGTAGAGGGCCTCCTGCGCACTGATCATCATTGCAGAGCTTTGAATAAATAAATAATTTGACACTCTGTGTGTGTCTGTACAGGAAGAATAAATTAGAGCTAATTTTTAGTTAGTAAGTGCTGAGTTTGTGGTTTGGGAGAAGAAGGGGAGTAAAATTTGAGGTTTAGTCCCATGTTTGTCCCAGTGAGTGTGTGCTGGTCCTGCCTTCCCAGGCTCGTGCCTGGGACTTCGCTAATAACTAATTAGCCAAAGCCTTTAATAGTAGACACCACTAATTACTGTCAATAAATAAATAAAGCTTTAATGAATTAGGGAGGTTGCAGGGACTGGACTGGGCCAGCACATGCTCAGTAGAGCAAATGCAGGATATACCTCAGATTTTTGGTCCTGTGTTTACACAATGAGCCTGTGCTGGCCCAGTCAGGCCCCTGCGAACTCCCTAACTCATTAAGTTTCAATAAATAAAGCTTGACTTACTTATTGAAGCTACATATTAATTAGTGATGTCTGCTATTAAACAGAGGCTGTAATTAAATTGTATCTGACTTGACTTACCCCCTTACACCATTCCCTACTTTACCCCTGAACAAAGCCTCACAACCCATGTCTGTGTGGTCAGCAGTTCACGGCCACGGTCTGGGCCAGGCGCCCCCGGAGGTGGTTGGCGAAGTCGACCTGCGTCTGGGACAGAACCTGGTTGATAATGGTCTTTGGCAGCCAGCCCTGGAGAGGAGCAGATACGGCCCGTGAGCTGAACTTGCCTCCAGTGCAGCTCCTGCTTCTACTTTGAAATGCTCGCTGCAAAACTTACCTTCAGGTCAATGCTGAGAAGCCACGTCAGCTTGGTTTGCGAAGGGCTGCCAGGCAGCGGGCGCAGGACCATACATGTGGGACCGTTCTCAGCTCTGTAAGAGGATGAGCGCACACGTTAGAAAGCAACGCCTGACTTTGGCCCCGAACATTACAGCCGTGCTGAAGCACTTCGTGAATTAGGGTTTCCTTCCGGCTGATTACTCTGAGCCCCTACTAAAAGCTAGTGTGTGAATCTGACTTCTGTTACACACCCTGTAAGTGAAGGCAAAAGGTGAGTACCTTATAAATCCTACCTTATAAATCCTTCCTGTTCTGGCATAGCTCCGTATTTTGTGGACATGCCGGCCAGGACACAGGTGGAGCCGCGTCTCTTAGAGCACCGGACGCTCACAAAGTCCCGTGGGCCAACAATGTTACCGGGGGTAGCGGCTGCCTTCTCGTGGGTGATCACTGTGTCCTTTCCAATCTTCTGGAGAATCTGGACAGTTTAGAATCAAAACGTTCATTTGAAGTACTCACTTCAAACCACAGCTAAAAGCTAGCTTTGATTTATAGTCAGAAAAATTGCAAATGTCTGTTTCATCCCAGAATGCAGAACATTAGTTTCCAACACCTGAAAAGGGAAGGTATTTCTCTTTATTCCAGACAAGCTGTGGAATAGCAAAATGCTCCTCCATGCCCGTTGGGGTACTGTGCTATTTATCCTCCAGTAACAGTACAAATTAACAACAGAACGGGCCTGCTAGCTTGCAGTGAAGTGCGTTTCCTACAAGAGGAGCAGCAGACAAGCTGCTGCAGACTGACTGCTGCAGAAGCAACGTGGTTACTGCAGAACAAGCTCTATGTCTGCAGCAGGAAGTGGATGAGATAAAGTCTGCCTCCTCCATTCCCAAAGAACAGGTGGAGAAATCCCTGGGCGCCTGCTGCGATGGGCAAAGCGATTCTTTGGCCCTTCCACTGCCGCTCGGAACTGCGCATGTGTGTGAACCCCTGGCTGAGACGGGTCTGACGTGTCTCCTACCTTGACTTCCTTGACGTTGGGATTCCAGTCTCCCATCTGCTCCATGTTGTCCACCAGCTCACTGTACACTGTGTCCAGGGGCTGGTCCACCACCACCTCGAGTCGGAACACCTTGCCCACGTCTGGGAGCACTTTGCTCAGCACTTTGTCTCCGTTATCCTGGAGAGGGAAAGGCAGAATTAATACCACAAATATTTACAGGAAAACTGCGCCACTGCTGCAAAACAGAGCACCTACCACCACCGTCTCCGTCTTCCAGCCATCCTGGTCCCCGAGGATGCTGAGTGACTTCTGGAGGGCTTCCTCTCCTTGCTTGATATAAGACATTTCCATCTCGCTGAAGGGCTTCTCCTCCAGCCTGGAGCCTGCACGGGATCAGACAAAAGCAGCAGCGAGCGTAAGAACACTGCACGGCTGACTAACGCATCATAATGCCAGATAAGCTTTATCTACATCAAATACGCTTCCCCGTGCCCAGGGGCTGGGGAAGTAAACGCAATTCCCACTGCTTGCCTGCCTTCGCTGTTTGTTTAGCAAAAGCACAGGCTGCCCACAAGCGGGTTTTCCTCCAACCACCGGGCAGGAAGGGCCAGACCCCGTCTGCTGGTCACTTACTGAGCAAGGAGCTTCTTCTGCGAACCTGGTTAATCCACGTGCTGGGTCCCGTGCTGCGGCAGGCGAGCTTGCTCAGCTCCTGGCTGATGGCGACAGCAGCTTGTCTTCTCAGACCTGAGAGCAGAAAGCGCATCACTCGCCAGCACCAGAGGGTTTGCCTTCCCCCCCGCCCCCAATTTTATCATACGACATTGGAAAAGTCTCTGCTTGCCCCCTTCACTGCAGTCCCTAGAGGCACAGAGAGCAGCTGACTGCCACTCCACTGCTCTGGGGCAGCGGCTGTCCTACACAGTCCAGCCGTCGCTCTCGTTCCGACTCGCACAGCACACGGAGAGCGGACAACAGTCGTGAAAACACGGAGGAGCAATCACGCAGGTGCCCAGGAAAGGCTGTAGGGGACGGAGTACAATACAAAATCCCTGCAGCCAGCAGGAACATTACCTATAGCTAAGTCCGCATTCAGCAATGGCACACGGCCATCCCCCTTGCACCCCAGAAATGGGTCTGGCGGCAAAGAGTGTCATGGAGACAGTAAAACACAAAACCCAGAAAACAACAGGGCATGGGGAGAGCCCCCCCAGAGCCCCCAGCCTCCACCCACCCTGCAAGCCCAGC